AATTACTCAGAGCACAACATATTGGCATTTAATTATCCAAATAATATTAGCACAAATCTTTTTCAATTAATTAAGAGAAATTAGTAGTGTAAGTATCTATCTATCTATCTATCTGAATGAGGCTGTGTTTTCCAGTGAATGCATTTGGCACCTTTGTCAAAGATAAGGTGGCTGAGTATATCTGGAATAGTTTCTGCATCTTCTAATTTGTTCCATAGATCTTGAGATCTACTTTTTTGCCAGTACCACACTGTTTTTATCACAGTAGCTTTACAGTATAATTTCAAGTCAGGGATTGTGATGCATCCTGCCTTGCCTTTGTTGCCCAGATTTACCTTTGCTATTCTAGATTTCTTCAGTATTGTTTTCTCTAATTCTGTGAAATATATTATTGGAATTTTGATCAGAATTGCATTAAATCTGCATAATAGTTTTGGAAGCATGGCCATTTTCATTATATTGTTCTTCAAACCCAAGAGCAAGGGATAGCATTTCATCTTCTGATATTGGCTTCAATCTTCTTTCTCAGAGTAGTACTGTAGTTTTCAATGTAGAGGTATTTTACAACCTTCATTAGATAGATTTCTAGGTATTTCATGTTTTGAGATGCTGTTATAAAATGTGCTGCTTCCCTAATTTCCCTCAGAAAGTTTGTTATTCATGTACAGGAAGGTTTTTTTTTTTTGTGTGTGTGTGTGTGTGTTTTCTTTGTATCTAGCTATGCTACTGAATTTGCTTAGTGGAGTTTTGGCAGTTTTCTATGTATAGTATCATGTCATCTGCAAATAATGATAATTTAACTTGTTCCTTTCCTCTCTTTATTATTTTACTTCTCCTGTCTCATTGCTCTGGCTAATGTTTCCAGGACTCTGTCACATAAGAACAGAGCCAGTGGACATCCTTGTCTTCTTCATGATTTCAAAGTGAAAGCTTTCAGTTTTTGTCCATTTAGTATGTTGACTGTTGGCTGGTCATAGACGGCTTCTATCAGATTGAGATAAAGAAATTTTATTCCAATTTTCTCTAGGGTTTTATCATGAATAGTGCTGGACTTTGTCAAAAGCTTTTTGTGCATCTACTGAGACGATCACACAATTTTTGTCCTTGGCTCTGTTAATATGGTATATTACATTTATTGATTTACATATGTTTGAACCAAGCTTGCATTCTTGAGATGAATCCTACTTGGTTATAGTGTATAATCTCCTTGATAATGGGCTCGTGGGTTAGCTCAGTTGTTTAAAGCACCTGCTTTGGCAAACTCAGTCAAGTTCAGGGGACCACAGTTTGATTCCCAGCTCTACAAGCCGCATTAGACCCGCCCTTAAGGCAGCATGAGCTAGCAAAAAACAAACAAACAAACAAACAAAATCCTTCTCCTTCATGATTTGCTGCATTGTTTGTCAGTATTTTAATTAGGATTTTTGCATCTATGTTCATTGAGAAAATTAGCCTGTAATTATCTTTCTTAGTTGGGTTATTTTCCTCTTTTTTGTATTAGGGTAATGTTTGCTTCCAAGAACAAATTTGAGAGTATTGCTTCCTTTTCAATTTCATTAAAGAGTTTGAGAAGTAGTGGTGCTTGGTCTTCTCCAAATTTCTTGTAGAATTCAGCAATGAATCCATCAGGGCCTGGGCTTTTTTGTAGGTTTTTTATTACATTTTCAATTTCATTGATTGATACTGGCTTAGGATTTTTATGTCTTCTTGATTCTGATTTGGTAATTCATATGTGTTTAGGAATTGGTCCATTTCTTCTACATTTTCTATCTTATTAAAATATAAATTCTCGAAGTAAGTATAATAATCTTCTGGAATTCTGTAGGGTCTGTTATTATTTCACCCTTTTCATCCCCAATTACATGAATCTGAGTTTTCCTTTCCTTTTTTGATAAGGTTGGCTAAGGGTTTGTTGATTTTAGTCTTTCAAAGATTTTTTTTTAATTTTTATTTATTTATTTATTTATTTTTGTGTGTGTGTGTGTGTGGCCAGCTCAGCCCACCAGGGGGTGGGGCTGGCTGGCATGTGGTGCTGGGGGATTGAACCGCGGTCCCTGTGCTTTAGCTAAGCTTCTTCTAAGTAGGTGCTTTAGACTACTGAACCATCTCACCAGCCCCTCAAAGACTCTTGATTCAACTCTTCAGTCCACTGATTCTTTGTATTGTTTTATTAGTCTCTGATGCATTAATTTCTGCACTGGTCTTTGTAATTTCCTCCTTTATACAAGCTTTTGGTTTAGCCTGCTCTTCTTTGTCTAGAAGTTTGAAGTTCACCATTAACTTGTTTCTTTGCACTTGCTCTGTCTTCCTGATATGGATATTCACTGCTATAATTTCCCTCTTACAAATGCTTTCATTGTGTCCCATAAATTCGGGTACGTCGTACTGTCATTATCATTTCATTGTAGAAACTGTCTAATTTCTTCTTTAATTTCATCAGTGACCTATTTGTAGTTCAGGAGGATGATATTTAATTTCTATGTGTTTATGATGTTCCTGTGGATTCTTTTACCATTGAGCTCCAATTTCATTGCACAGTGGTCTAATATACACGGAATAATTTCAATTCCTGTGCATTTACTTGAGCATGTTCTGTGAACTAGTATGTGGTCTAGTTTGGAGAACATTCCCTGTGTAGCTGAGAAGTGTGTGTATTCTGATGTGTGTGGAACACTCTGCTATACTGTTTTACTTAGACATCTACTAAGTCCATTTGTTCCAAAGTTTTGTTCAGTCCTAATATTCCATTGTTACATGTCTAGTTGGCTTGTCTTTTTGTGCCAGTGGGTTACTGAGCTCCTCTCAATACCATTGTATTGGTGTTTATCTGATTTTTCTTTCCTTTTTTAGCAGTCTCAGCCTGCCCTGGGGGCAGTGCTGGCATGGCATGTGGTGCCTGGGATTCAAACCTCAGTCTCTGCACTTGCCTAAGCAGGTGCTTTAGTCCACTAAGTTATCTCGCCAGCCCTTTATTTTTTTATGTGCATTAGTATTTGTTTTATATAGTTGGTGCACTGGTATTCGTTGCATATATATTGATGATTTGTTATCTCTTCCTCTTAGATTGTTCCCTTTACCATCTTTATTTCTCCTAATCATTCTTGGCTTGAAATTCACCCTGTCTGCAAATAGAATAGCTACTTTGCTTTTCTCTGGATTCCTATCACACGGAGTACTGTTTTTATTATTTGACTTTCAGTCTATGAATTTCTTCTATGAATTCAATGTGTTTCTTGTATGCAGTATATTGTTGGATCTTTGATTCTCAATCCATTCTGCCAGTCTCTGCCTTTTGATTGGTGAATTGAGACTATAACATTGACAGTTTTAACTGATATGTAGTGACATATCCTTGTCACATTATTTTCCTGTTGTTGGCTCTGCCTCTTTTTTCCCTTCCCTCTGTTTAATTGAATGGCATAATTACCATCTTAGTATCACACAGCATTTTCACTGACTGAAAAAACCTTCTGTAGATTTTTTCAGAAGAAAAAGCAACTTTCATGTGCTGCTAAGTAAGTGTTGCTTTCTAGAAGAGGGACCAGCTGGAATCACAGTCACCAAGGGTCAAATACCATGGTGCTGTACTGGAAACAGATGGAACATAAGGCTTGATGTGTCACACAGGGCGGAGAAACAAAAAGGTGGGACCATGGCAGACTTGTGTATCACAAATTAGATTTGCATAGGATTAGACAGAGTAGTTCTCAGCTGCCCAGAGGAGAGATGAGGAAACCAGATCTGGGCAGAGTGAAAGGTATAGTATCAGCAAACATAAGTTGAGAAAGCCTTCTTGGTGACTGCTGCTACTAAAAACGAGGGAAAGCATTTTCCAGCCCTGAGACAGGGAACTGCAATAGAAGAGCTGACCACTCTTGCTAGTACAGGCCTGTAACATCTCTCCTCTTAGAGGACTGTAACCACTGGGTAGTAGATTATTTCTTGAAATGTTCCATGATGTTAACACCTCTGAGCTACTTACATGAGGTGTATGGGAGGGCAGAAGGAAAATTAAAAAAAAAAAAAAACCTCAGAGAGGAGCATGGAGACTAGAGACAATTGAGGACAAGGAGACAATTGTTTCTGCAAGCCCTGAGCTGCAGTGCCCACACTCAAGAGGAGCCTCAGAGAGGAAGGCTAAGGCCTGATAAACCTGCTTCCAGCCCCAGGAGCTGCATAACCAAGAAATTGGGAATAAGAGTGCAGTCCTGCTATGACAAGACAGGCCTTCTCAGATAGGTGGAGCTACTTCAGAGCTAGGACTTGGTCTTACAAGAACCAAGATCCCCAGAGTTCAATTTCTTGCCTGCTCTGTAGACTAAAACTGGGGGCTGAGATGAGTAGATAGATGTAATTAAAGAGTACATTGTTTTGTTGCCAGTAATTCTTTCTGATATCCACAGTCTGGATCTCAACAATCACCACAGTTCCAGCACTCAGCTAAGAGGATCTGCGGCAGGAGGGACACGTGGAGGTGATGTGCACTCTCTCTTCATTCAACTAGTGGGTAGCCTACTCTGGTGCTTGGGCCTGTGTCCCCAAAGACTCCTAGGCTGGATGCTAGGAAGGGGGCGACACTCCAAACTTTCATTACCTTTTTGTCTTGGTTTGGATTTTTTTTTTTCTTTTTTTTTGCTTTTTGAGACAGCTTCTCTTCTTGCAGTTCAGATTGGCCTTAAGTCCTGCTTCAGCCTCCTGAGTGCTGGAATTACAGGAGTGCACCTCACTTGGCTTGGTTTTGATTTTTTAACGTTCACAGAGCAAACAAAAATACCGAACAGCTCGTTGAGACGTCTAACCAACCTACGTCCGCAGCTGTAACGAGGTAGCGCAAGCGTCAAGCGAAACCAGGCCCGGCAGGAACGCTGCGCTTGCGCACAGCAGACATCGAAGCCGCGCGCCCTCAGTGCGGTGGGCGGGGGCTGCCCGGGCATCCGGGTCCCACACCCCGCCCCCGCTGCATGAATGAGAGGCGGGCGCCCGCCCCCCCCCCGCCGGGCCCGCCCCTCGCCGGGGGCAGCCGCACACAGTCGGCCGCCACCACCTCAGCTGTGCTGGGTCTTCGCTGACTGACTGTGGTCGCCCGCAGTTCTCCGCCCGCAGCCTGCCGCCGACAGCCGAAGGTCTCACACGTCCACCGCCACCGTCACCGCCGGAGCGCCAGAGTAAGTGAGCCAGCAAGGACGCAGGCACCCGGGGCTGCCAACCCCCGGCCTGGGATTTAGGGGACTGGGCGGGTCCAGTCCGGGATGCTGGAGAGGACGCGGGCCGCGGCAACACCCCACACGCTGAGCTTCTGCGGGCCCGGCTGGGGGCGGAAGGCTGGGACCGTGGCCCCGGGCCGAGAGGGGCGCGGGGGAGGGTCCGGCGCTGCTGGGGATGAGGAGCGGCAGGGCTGTCGCGGGAGGTCACGGAGAGCAGGTTGGCCGCCCCCTCGCATCCCAGCCGCCCGAGCTCCGGCGCTGGTCCCTGGGCGTGGGAGGTGGCAGCGGCGAGCCGGGAGGCTCCGAGGATAGCGAGGACCGCCGCTCGGCGGGGGCGGTGGGGACGCGCCTTGGGGGGCGCGGCGTGGCAGTGTTTTCCTGGTCCCGATCCACTCCTCTCCTTTCTTTGTGGTGCTTGTCTGGTGCTTGGTTGCTAGTGTGCAAGGCATTGATCGGCGTGGAGACGTCTCTCCTTGGCTTCCTCGTTAATGAAAGTCATCTGGTGGCCTCATTATCTGTGGGTGGGGGGCGTGTGTGCTCCTGCGGGCCAGAGAATTAAGGACCCTTCTTTGTTTCTGGCGATGTAGTGTGTGTGTGAGCATGTGCGCGTGTGTGTCCCCCGTGAAATGAGAAAATCAAAGATCGTCAAAAGGGAAAAAAGGGATAACTTCACACCTATATCTCATTCCCTTTCTGATATTAATTCATATCTCAGCTTTTTGTTTCTCACTGCTGTAAAACCAATGGGTTTGGTTAATTGCGAATTTATGTCCGTATCCTTATCTGTCTGTATTCAGAACACCTTGATTTTGAGGATCTAGTTAATGATAATGTAGTCATATCTACGTGCATGGAACACTCCAACGTACAGGACACTTCCTTCTGGGTTTGGTTCGTGGGTAATGTGTCTTTATACTTATGTATGTCTCTATAGGAATACTCCAGCATATCTAGGACACTGTTTTTTTGGCTCTTCACTAGAGGCAGATTTTGTTTCTTCTGCCTCTCTGTGTTAATAAGAAGGTGGTCCAGCAGGTTCTTTCTACCTACTTGTTTTGTTTTGTTTTGTTTTTCCTTAATGCTTTGGCCAAGGGTTTTATTGCATATTACCTTGGCATGCGCCCTTGCTTTGATCTGAATTTTCCTATGTTCTGTTGTCTGGTTGTGCAGCCCAGCTCAATGGCTCCTCTTACAGGTCTACTGAAAAACAGAACACCTTTTTCATTGTCCTCCCTTGAGAGCAGAAAGCTCTGCAGGTTCCCTAGACTTGGACTCAGTAGAACTGCCTGCCTTACTGTTATCCTGGTAAAAAGTTATGAGCAGTTACAGTTGATGTAGACCAGTTAAAAAGATGCCATTGTGATAGCATGACCTATTCCTTGATATTTTGTTTTTAAACCAAAGTATTTAGATTTTAGAAGATAGTTGTTTTGGTTGGGTGATGATTTTCACTTTTTTTATCCTAATTTTACAGTGATGGAAAAATTATAGTTATAAAAATATACCTCAAAAATATTTATTATGCTCTTTTGATTCAAAATAGTGATGGGGCAGAGTAGTCAGGCATGTTGGTCAAGCTGTAGTCCTAATGTCTGGGACAAGAGGATTACAAATTTGGGGTTAACCTGGGCAATTCACTGAGAGCCTATCTCATTAAAATAAAAAAGGACCAGGGATGTAGTGCAGTGCTAAAGTGCTTGTGTAGCTGTGTGAGGCCTTGGGTTCAATCCCTAATAGTGTTAGAAAACTTTGGGTGGGTTCAGTTTTCTTCTGTGACTCTCTTTAAGATTATTGATTTCTGAACCACATGTATTTTAATTCCTGGTAGTTTTCAGTGCAGAATGAAATATAAACCCCCACAGCATCTGTTTATGCATTTTCTCTGCTTAAAACATTTGCTTTTAATTTGAAGAGGAAATTTTCCACTGGCTAGATCAGACTCCATTATTCTTGGTAAAACTTACACCTTATACTAATAAGTTTCAATTCTTTTTTGTAGCAGTTAGCTTTGGTAAAAATTGATGCTTTTTCTCAATGGGTAAGTTTTGGTTTCATAGTAAAAATTTAAGTAAACTTTTAATATTAATGAATCTATTAGTCCAAATATGTTAATTTAAAAGCTAGCATTGCTATCAAAATTATCACTGAAGGAGCTTTACAGAACCACAATTTCATAGAGCTTTAATTTTGCAAGAGTGACTTAGCTATTTTTTATGTCAACAAAGGAACCTGAATACAGCCTGCCCATGTTATTCAGCATTCTGTTAGTCAAAATTTTGCCAACACACCAAATATTTCTGTACTGTGACAACTGATGAAAGATTCTAATATAACTTTTGTAACATGAAGGTAGATCATATGATGTTAAATGTTTTATTAGTAAATATATTATTTACATTCCTTTGAGTGATAATAATTGTTATGCTAGTGATGGTAGTAACATATCTTTGAGACTTTGTTACCCCAAACTGGGACCCATTATCCTCCTAGTAATGTTTGCTAACAGAAAAAAAAAAAGTTTTTTGGGGTCTGGGGATATAGCTCAGTGGCATAAGCACCTGCCTGGCAAATGCACAGTCCTGACTTCATTTCCTAGTACCACCAAATTAAAAAAAAAAGTTTTTCCATTGAGTATTCTTTATCAATAGCTGTTTTCTGCTCGTTGTAAAATTGGTATTATTATTATTATTATTATATATTAACTTGTACCACATAAAATTTTTCTAGATTGGAAATGATTTTAAAATCAGCAGTTTGAATAGCCAGAGGTGGTGGCACATTCCTGTAATACCAGCACTTGGGAGGCTGAGGCAGGCAGATTGCTGGGAGTTAGAGGCCAGCCTGGATTATATAGGGAGACCCTGTCTCAAAACAAAACGCAGCAGTTTCATATGATTCAGCTGGTTTTGTTTTTAATGTTCATACTGGTATTTCTTGTTTTTTCACCTTTACATAGTTTGGATGAACTTTTGTTTGGGAAGTTGAGGGTATAGCTATCTTGTATAACCATCTTGCGTTCTCCTTAAATCAGTGTTCAGTATTCTATGCTGTAACAGTGTACCTATTAATCACACATGAGCCACGAAGGGTACTATTATTACATTTCTTCTTCTTCTTCTTCTTCTTCTTCTTCTTCTTCTTCTTCTTCTTCTTCCTCTTCCTCTTCCTCTTCCTCTTCCTCCTCTTCCTCTTCCTCTTCCTTTTCCTCTTCTTCCTCCTCATCCTCTTCTCCTCTTCCTCCTCCTCCTCTTCTTCCTCCTCCTCCTCTTCTCTTCTTCCTCTTCTCCTCTTCTTCCTCCTCTCCCTCCTCTTCCTTCTCTTCTCCTCCTCTTCCTCTTCTTCTCTTCTTCCTCTTCTCCTCCTCTCCTTCCTCTTACTCTTCTTCTCTTCTTCCTCTTCTCCTCCTCCTCTTCTTCCTCCTCCTCCTCCTTCCCTGCCCTCTCGTCTTCGTCTTCGTCTTCGTCTTCGTCTTCGTCTTCGTCTTCGTCTTCGTCTTCATCTTTTTGAGACTGGGTCTCAGTGTGCACTTTAAGCTGCCCTTGAGCTCCCTTTGTAGCCCAGGCTGGTCTTGAAGTCTCAAGGATCCTCCTCCCTCAGCCCCCCAAGTGCTGGGATTACAGGTGTACAACACCACACCCAGCTACATTTTCTTCTTGTACAGCTTCTGTTTTTCCTGGATGAAATAATTGTGTCTTTTGTTTTTCATTTGCTTAGTTTTCTTTGTTATCAGTCACTAATTTGCCCTCAAACTCTGAAAGAACTGAGAGTCTTCAGTATTTTCAGATAACCTTTCATTTTCATTTCTTTTTCCTGAGGGATGGTTCTGCTAGAGACTTAGCTTTCCCACTCTAGTCTGGATTGGTTTAGCTACTACATAGCCATCATCCTGAGACTTCCCTTTGTCATCATCTTGGAAAATCCCTTTGCCATTACCTGTGTTGGATCTATTTCCTGTATTACGTGTCATCCTTACTCTTCAGTGGCTTCCTGAGAAAGGATACATACAAAATCTCATGTTCCTTCCTGAAGTCAGAATTTGCATATCTGGACATGCCTTTGTTTTACCCTCACATTTGAATAGTGACTTAGCTCAGTGGTGAATGCTATCTTGAAAATTAGTGTCCCTCTTTTGAAGGCATTGTTCCATTATTAGCTTCTAGTGTTGCTATTGAGAAATCTCTGATAACATTCTAATCTCTATTTTTTTTCCTTGCATTTGGAAAATTTTAGGCTGTTTGATGTTCCTGACACTTTATAATATATAGGCCTTTTTCTTTCCTATTGCTTGTGGAGCAGATTGTATTTTCCAAAAATGGCTGTGTATTATGTCTACACAGCCCACTTTTACCCAATATGCTATTCCTCGTGTTTTCTTTTGCAGGGGGTGCTGTTTGGTGGTGTTTTATTTTGTTTTGTTTTTGTCTTTTTGAAACAGGGTTTTGGTATGCATTTCAGGCTGGCCTTGAACTCACTTTGCACCTCAAGACAGCCTTGAATCCCAGTGCTGGGATTATAGGCATGCACTACCACACTTGGCCTGCTTCATGTTTTTGGCTTACCTCCATTTAAAGGTAGGGTCTTTGTTTCCTTCCGTAGAACCAGAGCAGACATAAATTCTGCCTAGAATGTTTTGAATCTTTATGTCATGGTTCAAGAACACAGTTGGATAATGAGGGGCATGCACCTGATACTGCTAGGTGCCTAGGGCCTTCAGGCCAAGTTCCCCTTTCACATTTGCCTTATGATAACCTTAAGGCATTTTGAGATTAATCACTGGAGATGCATTTGTATTCATTAGAGAATATGTGATGTTAAGATTTGTGTTTCTTGTTGTTTTTAATTTTTAAATGAAACCACCAATGAAAATATCAGTTAACATCAAAGAATTTCTTCAAATAATGGAATGAAATCACCTCTAGAATGAACATGAAGGCTGTCAACTGCATTTAAAAGGAATCTGT